CTTTTAAGAAGATATGACCAGTCTTTTCTACTTTGATATCTTAAAGAAACATATTCTTGAGATCAGAGATATATTAAGAAATAATTAGTAGTTCTAACAAGATAATAATCTGAAGCACACAAGTGATATGATAAAAGAATATCTTCAAAATAACTTTTCAAGAGTAATTGATTGGTTGTTTAATAGTTCCAACCTAAATCCTATTAAAAACTTATAAAGTATTATCAAGAGAAATATAGAGATATGACAATCAAAAAATATTTCACAATTAAAATAATTTATGAAGAAAAAATAGGTAAAGATTTCCCAACATCTTATCAATAATTTAGTAAGATCTATAAAAGAGTATTATAAACTTATTATTGAAAACAATAATGAATATATTCCTTATTAATTTTTTTTAAAATCATTTCATGCTCTTCAGCTTTTGAATAAATTATTAAATGCATAATTTGGATTAGTCATTGTGACACAATGGTCCAATAATTTTGTTCAAAGACTTTTGCAACACATTATATATAATTAAATTTATCAACTATAATTTGATATTCTTAAGTCTGTGCAAAGATATCATAATTTAATAATTTTCAATTTTGTGTTGCATTATTTTTGATCATTACTGTACATCTTATAAAGCATTTTTTATAACAAGAATTTGCAAATTAAAAAATAATCTAGAAAAATAGGCAAATAAATATATATTTTAATAATAATTTATTTTACAAATATTATCTTTTGAAAATCTTAACAATAACTTAAAGATATTTTATATACTTTAACTTAGATTAAAGCTTTAAAAATGCTATTTTATCTAATAATTTTAATGATTTTTATATAATTATCAAGTGTGTGACCGATAATAATTATTTGAAGAAATAGTGCATTAAATATATATTAAGACCAGGATCACAAAAATATTTACTCAGAATACTGTGTGAAGTAATTTTGGAACACACTGAATCTGAGACATTTCTCTTGAACGTAAGTTACACAAATAACAATTTATTTAAAAAAAATAACCTCTTATACCAATAAACTAACAAATAAAAATCTTTACCAAAAGTAAGCGTTAATTAATCAATCAATTAATCTCGAAATCTTCAACGCCTTCATCGTCAGGATCAGGGCCAGGCGGTAAGAACTCCTCACCTGGATACATTTTCTCAAACAGCAGTCGAGCTTGTTTTGTGGCAGATTCAAAAGTAAGATTCGAATCGGGGTCATTGACGGTAATGATGTTTTCGGGAATTATTGACTGGTTTATGGATCGTGCAAACGAATGGTAAAAGAGCGCGAATATTGGATTTGGTTTGGTTGATGAGGATCCTAACAACATAAAATGAACAAATTTGAAGCATTAAATTACCAAATACAAACTTATTATATTAGATAATTACCAGTTTGGGGATTTCTTGAAATATTAACTAATTTTTCAAGAGCTTCATATAAATCCTCTTTCGGACTTTCCTTTTCACTTGCTTTTGTAAACATGTATAAAACACCTAAACATGAAACATAAATTATATAATAATGATCCTAATTACAAATTAGACACAATGACAATACATACTACGATCCTCGGGACACGCCTGTGTACCATGTGTTAATTGAATAACATTAATCGAGTATGGATTGTTAACAGTGCCTGGCGGGTATATAGTTATCGTAGCATCACAATCTTCATGAATGGGTTGATCAATTATGATTATCGCACGTGAAGTTTTTTCCCTTTATTTGATTTTTTTTAAACTGTCAAATTCCCTGAAACGGAAATTGATAACATCGATAGCAAGGATGGAAAAAAAGAAATAATATTTACCACGATTCTTGGTTTTCTAGATAATAACTAGGCAAATAATCGATAGAAGATACGAGATATGTAGAGGAAAGCTGTTGTTCGTTTGCGTCCACCAGTCCAATAAATTTTTTAAAACTTTCGTTATCTTCCTTCTTTGTAATTTCTTCAATTAATAAGTGATTTACAGAATGTGATAGCATATAAATTCCGCCGTACACCGCACATACACTATAAATACAAAATTTAGTAATTCAAACGATCAAATTGATTATTAGATAAATCAAAAAATTAAAACTTGCCGACAAAATCCTTGCGCAATTTCACTACCACCTCCGTACAGGGCAACCAAGAATGCATTATTTCCATACCGACCCAACGACTGAAGATATTTTTGTGTCTTTTCAAGGCCTTGCATGGTATACACTATTTGTGGGGTTGTTTTGGTTTTTTAATTTTATTTTTTGTTTAAAGACAAGAATTTCTCTTCAATTAATGTGGGCAGATAATTACATATATGAAGATAACGCACACAAAATAATTACTGAAAAATGTCATCATTCGAACCATCTTCGCCCGGTAAATTTATTAGTGCTATCGCATATAATACTACTGTCTGTAATTTTCCTTCAATCTGAAACTTTTCTTTAAGGAAATCCTTAAATGATTTGTCCTCGTAGCCTAAATACATTTAAGATAATTAAAAATAAATAAATGTGAAATAATTTCAACAGAAAAAAAATGTGAAAAAACAAATAAATGAAATACCCGAATAAGTTTCAGGTGAACTTGCATAATCTAAAGCAAAGTTCAAGAATTTCATCAATTTACGCTTATCAACCAAAGACACCGTTTTGCTAGTAAAAACGTCTTCTTTGGAGCATGGAACCTATTCATCAAAAAATTCATTCTTAAAACAATTCTTTCTCTAAAGAATGCAATAGACGTAACCCTTATTATTTTTATACATACCTTTTCAAATTTATTCACCCCTAAATAAATAAAAGTTTGATCAACCGCCTTAAAGTCCAAATATTTACCAACACCCGAACTAATCAACAACTCGACAAGTTCACCACGACAAGGCATTAACTTCGGCGCCAATTCCAAATTATAACGTTTTGATTCTCCTAAAAGAGCTGCAAGAGTTTCAATTCGCTCTAAATTGAATAGACTAGTAGACACATGTCGAATGGCTTCCTCCATCATATGGTTCTTTCCCTTGTAACTTTGAAGTAAATGTACAAGTCGAGCTGATTCTATCGCGATTGCATCCTCGTTTTCTGGAGTCCTAATTAACAATTTGGATTTGAATTGCTCGTTGATTAGTTTGGCAATCGCTTCACTATGATCATATTCATCGGACGAGAGTAGATATTTTGCTAGAGCATTGAAGTCTGATAAGGCATTCTGATCATCAACTTCGAGTGAAGTAGTGATTATTGAAGATTTTTCCGCTGGATTTTGACTTGTTACGACATTACTTGAATCTTGATTTGTATCTAAAGAGTTTCGATCTTGTTCTTGATTCAGAGGAAAGACCTCATATTCAATTGTTGGGTAGGTCTGTTTAAGCGCTTGAGACAGATTTGTTGCCAATGCTTGTTTCCCTTCAATGCCTGCTCAATATTATAATATATGCTATGTTAAAAGTATTTGGATTTATTTTACATATTAGCTATTTACTTTCTTGGTTATTCCCAAACGTATCAGCAACAGGACCTAAGCAATATAAGAACATAATTAATAAATAACAAGTATAAAATAAATAAATCAACAGGTAAGACGATTTTGGTAACAGACCTTGCACATTCTGCATCCAGTCCAAAAGGTCACGGAAATTGAGTGCACTCCAGCCACCACCATAATGGCTATTGGCATCCAAATGCAAGACGGACTTGCCAATACGCGCCAAAGCCCTGTTTGACTATGGAGTTTTTAGGGTGCCAAGAGGGGTTAAGAAAAAGGAAAACATGAAATTGTTCTACAAGAATGCATACCCGGCAAGTAACGACTCTGTAAAGCCTGTTCCTAGTACGATAACGTCATACTCTGTTACTTCTAATGGTGGTGTCATTTGGGTAAACGTATATTGCGTTAGTTGAAAGAAGCATGGTAGAAGTTCCTTTTAATTGGCTATTTCCCTTAATGATCTTCATTAAATGTGATTGGTTAAGAATATTGTTGATGAAAATCATACCAAATTATAAAAAATATTTAATGGTGACTTTAAAGAAGTTTGATTATACTTTCACTTTATATCTATTACAAAATGTCTGTAAAAGAAATCATCTTATAAATATAAGAAAATTAAAATCTAAAATTATTGATAATTAGATCCAATAATGTGGAACAAAATTACTGACCAAAATCAGAGTTGCCAAGATTGACAATTAGGCCGGTTACAATTGGAAACATAACATGTAGATTATTTCTTATTAATAAAGTTTCATCTGTATACGTATCTATAAATTAAAAAAATTAATTTATTTTTCACAATCAAGTTGACTTTGATTAATTCGAGTTGTTAGACATAATGTAACAAGCGCGCTTATAGTACACCAACATGGCTCTAAAATGCAGCGCATCACAAAATTCCAATATAAAAACTTTCCAAAGAAATGACTTACCTTCCATTTTGCTATCATTATCTATCACCTGCTAATATATAGAAGTGTTGATGAACCACAGAGTCATCTAGTCGTGCATACTACGACTTCATAAGACTGTCTAATTCTGCTTTAACCTGAGTCATTTCTTTGTTAGCATTCTCCATCCGCTGCTTATACTTTGTGATACTCTCTTGGACTTGACGATAAGCGGCCTCAATTGCTTTTATCTCCTCTTGTTCAGCTTGAATACCTTAAAGAAAAGAAGATCAAAGGTATATTGGGTATAAAGCACTTTTGTCTTTTATTACGAAACAATATAACATGAACAACACTCACTATAAGGTTGACTCGCGGTGCTCCGAGTCGGAAGATTTGAAGTCGTGTTAGATAAGAGTATTTGATACATTGTCTCTGTTGGATCGGTAAATACCTGGTGTGGGGAATTCGACATTATTAGCAAAAAGTTGGGAGAGCAACGCAGCTACGAATGAATATATTAGAGAATGCTCACAAGTTCATCATATTGGAAACTTGAGACGGGTTTACCCTTATTAGAAGTTAATATCGAACCATCATCTTCATAAGGGTGTAATCGTAAATTATGATATAATGTGACCGGTTTCTCGCCACTTTCTGGAATAAAATGGAGCTTCATGGTAAGCTCAAATTCACCCCATCCAGTCTCCGAAATTTCAAAAGGCGGACTTTCCACGGCTAAAAATGGTGAATATAATAAGTATATCATCGGTGCAGATAATGCAAAGCTGTTACAACTCGTTTTCTTACTTCTTAGTGGGTTTTGATAAGTCTCATGTAGCTTGAAAACAACCTTCTTTATAAAGTAACTTATATCTTCTCCATTAACACCTTTAACTGACACCGTCCATTTATGAGTATGATCTGTCTCGGCACTTTTCTTGGGAGGTAAGGGTGTTGCGATATTACCATAAATTATTGGCCTGACGATTGTTACGCCCTTTGTTAAACAAATTCATAAATTAATGAGGAAAATAAATCAAAAGCACATTTCTGAAGGAGTTCTGTAGTTTAGCATTAATACTTTTGTTCTCCTTGGTAGACTGGCCATTTCAAACTAGGGAATTTAAGATACGCGGTGATATTGATCTACATAGCTCTATTAGCGAAAGATCGACAAAAAAATTTGGGTATATATCGATATGTAATGGGAATAAAGTAATAACGATAAAAATACAAATTCTAATAAAATGATAATAATGTTTATGTTACAAATATAATATTTTAAAGCATAATTGTGTTCTAATCCATCATTTTTCGGTCTATCTCACCACCAACTCTTCCTTTAACTGGATTAGCAAAACTGAAACCAATATTTGCGACTTTCAAAGTAATTCCTCTTGTCAAATCACATTTGAAATTCCAGGAACTCCAATCTATTGATCTACCTTCACAGGAATAACATACCGCACAATTAATCTGCGGAAATCCCTCACATAATCGTCGATTATTGCGAATATTTTCATACATATCTTCCATCGTTTTGGAGGATGAGTAAAGCTCGTTGAATTGTTTGGCAATCATGTCATCTTCACAGACGTCAGCTTGTTGAATTCTACGATCATGTATTGGTTTGATGTTGTATGAGAATAACCATACGCCTAATGATTGATATTCATTTCGTGTGAATAGACGCGGTGCGTCGTTCACTATAAGTGAAATTATGTCCCGCGAGAGGATGTAGAGTGGCCCAGCAGTGAAGGGAGGGAAAATGGGGAGATCGTATTCTTCGTCCGCATATTTTTGTTCAATTTCACTATTTGGTGGAATATTCCTTTTTTTTCACAATTAAACAATTTTCTATTAAATCCGATATTAAATGACTAAATTGAATTCTATAAATATATGGCAACTAACCAATAAGCGAGCCCTTTCCAATAATATCTTTTACCAGGACCCATTTCTTCCAATTCTTTCGCGACCGTATCCAGCCGAATAAACACATCATCATCAGTTTTAATCAAATAATCGAAAGCAAATTTACTTGACCACTGATAAGTTTTATAAACTTTACGACTGAGTTGATGAAAAGTGTCCAAGGTGGGTATCATTAAAATGTCATTAAATTCTTGAGACTCTACATGAATTCGATGACCTAATTCCATTCGCGTTTTCGTCGACGGCGCATCCCCAAGAATAAATCGATACACAATGGATATCCGATTTGAATGCTGCGGTAATAATCGTAGAGTACTATTGCGAAACGCCTGACGTTTCGCATAGCTATTTTCTGTCCACGATGATAAGATCACCATAATCACTTTAACATAGGCGTCTGTGTCACCGAGGGTTAAATTAGTATTCAATTTGTGGTGGTCGGAGTGAGATGTGCAACGAAATGCAGTCTGTTGTTCCAATAGGCATATCATTGTGATAAAAGTGACGATCATGAAAGGAACTATGATGTATCGTGCAACATCTTTCCACGCTAATGCTTTGTTGGTTTCCAGATCGACGACTTTTTTTTTATATTTTGCTGGTGAGGTGAATAACCATTGTATAGGATTCGCGATGGCGAATACCAATACCACGATGATCCATGTCCGTAATGGTTCATCAGATCCTAAATGAGATGCTACTAGTGCTGTCACGACCCAATTGATCGCTTGTAATGAGATCAATCGTATAATTGTATTCCTAATCTCATAATGAAATAACCATCGGCGCATCAGACCGTCTGCTAGCCAATAGCTCCACAGACCGGAAAGAGCACACTAGAGTTATATTGGATAATAAATATTCAAATCGGTCAAATAAAAATTGAAAATGAGACCAAAAATTTCTTTTATTTCGTTCGTCATATTTCTTGATCTAGCCATAATTTTATGGTAATGCTTGATTGATCTAGCAACAATGAATTGTAAAAGAAAAGATATTGAATTTTTCGAAATCTCACGAGAGATCATTAACACAAACAAACAGTAACATCTTTCTTGACCCTTATTTAAATCAGATCGATCAATTAAGGCTAATTAATAAGAAAAAAAAATATATTTTATGTTCTTAGTTGAATAATATCGCTTACCCACATGCAACCCAACCCAAAATCCAATTTTGTGCTTTTCCATGTCACTATATCACCTGTATCACGCGTATTGACATTCTTGTATAGTTTAATAAGTGAATACAGACCATAGCAGGAAGGAACGAAACTTAGTGCCCTAAGAATGTAAAGTATTGGGTGATATTTCTTTGGAACCAAGCCTAAGGAACGCCAACGAAATAAAGACCATATCCTCCTCTATAAAACGAAAAGTGACGAGTAAGTAAAAATATAGAGAATGGTAGTTAAAACAATATATAAACCCAACTGTTGCCATAAGGTATATACGAATATCAACGAATGTCTTGTCAAGAATGTTACGTGTCAATCAGATCACCTATCTTCACACATTAGTATATTGAGAAGCGAATACTTTTTCTCTTTAAATTTCAGAGAATTCTAACAAAAAATACGGAAAAAAAAATGCAAGTAGAGCGCGTCTCGAAAAAATCTGGGGTTATCAAATTTCTTGTTGGGAAGGTCTATCAAAAAAGATAAGCCTGTGAAACGATGCACGTGAATTTGAATTTGACTCACGCGTTTGATTGGCCTAATTTTTTGATGTTCTACCCGAACAGGTTTTTTTATGTGCATATAAAAAAATTTTTGTTTGTCAAATATAGTTGATTTTTTTCTCACCAATACACCTTTTATAATAAAGCCAAAATGTCTAAACGAGGTATTTTTTTTTGACTTAATGTTGATTTAATGTTATATTATGAAAGCTCAAAAGAAACCCTTATCATTTATCAAAATTTGATACGACCTTATCATGAACTACGTTGAATTTTATTTTAAAAAAAAGATTATTTCGATAATAATTTTATCGAGGGATCTAGGGATTTTTTTTTTACTTATCAACTAACCAGATCTTTGAATATTTGATAATCTAATATATATCGCATAATTATGTTTAATTATCAATAGGACGCGGGGGTGGTAAATATCGAATCTTCATTTGTTAACTGTGCGTTTTAACCTAACATTGTGGAATAATCTTATTCACAGTTCAATTGCGAATAATTTTTGATAAGCTTCGGGTAACAAATTCCGTATGACTTTGGGTCTTCCAGTTGGTGCCGTAATGAATTGTGCCGATAATTCTGGTGCCAAAAATCTATATATCATTTCGGTCAAAGGTATACATGGTCGTTTGAACAGATTACCCGCGGCCGGTGTTGGTGACATGGTAATGGCCACCGTCAAAAAAGGCAAACCTGAACTAAGAAAAAAGGGTATCTAATTAATTAAAGAGCTTGAAAAAATTTGTTACTTTAATTTGGGGCTTGGTTGTTCAAGTTTTCGGATAATTTTTTATTATTTAGTCATGCCAGCAGTTGTAATTCGTCAAAGAAAACCTTGGCGTAGGAGAGATGGCGTTTTCCTTTACTTCGAAGGTATAGTGAATTTAATATTTTTAATCCATCAAGTATATATGTGTGAATATGTGTTAATGCAATTGTTATATCAGATAATGCCGGTGTTATTGTCAACCCTAAAGGAGAAATGAAAGGTTCTGCCATTACAGGGCCTGTTGGTAAAGAATGTGCGGATCTTTGGCCTCGTATCGCATCATCTTCAGGTACAGTTGTAAGTATCTAATAAAAATTATATACGTGTATAAATGAATTTTCTTTTTTAATCTCATTTATTCATTAAATTTTTTTTCTTGAATTCTTCTAGGTCTAAAATAATGTTGCATGCTAAAATAGTGTTGCATGCCGTAATAGGTTTAATAAAGTTGAAAGGTTGCAACTTGTTGATTTAAAACTCGTAATTTTTGCCGTAATTTGTATAACATTTGTAATTGTTGTAAAGTTCGTAATTGATAATTGGTGTAAAAGCTCGCAATTAATATTTGTACAAAATAATGAAATCCGTAATAATGAGTAATTTCACGTACGGCCTCTTTGGGGCTCAAGATCCAATGGAGAAAATCGGGTGTAGGCCCATCAGTTGATTCACCAAAACCTAAGAAATCGAATGATCAGCTTTATACTCGCTTTGGTCTCGAAATATTAAGATGGCGAAAAAAGGTTACGAATCATGTGATTTTAAGGGGTAAACCAATCAAAAATCAACGGAAAAACTCAAACATTTATTTAATTTTGCCTATCGCTATGAAACTTTCTGTGTTCTAACCATGTGTGAATTTGTTCATCGACTGACGCAAGCTTAATCAATAATCACGGGTTAGCTTAATTACGTATTATACCTTCAATACAACTTTAGGCCTTGGTTGGAATCAGGTCCATTATTTTGATCATCGCGCGTGATTTCAAATTATATTATTGTTTTCCTAACTAAAGAGTCATAGGAATAGACTATTATGGTTATTAATTTTTTAGTATGAAAAAAGGGTTACTTGATTCGTCATTTTGATCTTTTCATTTTATTGTTACATTTCATGCAACAAGATCGGTTTCTTCTAGAATATTCTTAATGTAAAAGAACATTTGATTGGTCAAGTGATGCAATTCATTATTATTGCTACCTATATGAAAGAGGATTATCTCGGGTTGTTGCACACTTTAGGTTTAGGATAAATAAAAAAAAATAATAATATGCGTATTGTCGTTCAACTAGATCTGGCGGCACAGCTCAAATACACAACCCCCCACTACTTCATCACATATGACAAAAAGGGACAATTCTTGCCGTTATACCATTTTTGGATGCAGAAAGTGTAACCAGGACGTGCACCAATCAGATGAATGGAGCACAAGTGACCAGATATTCATTATCTATGCCGAAATACCACTGGATACCCGAAATCAACCTGCTCATCTTCACGCATTTTTTTCACAGCTCGAACAGTTTATCGTTAATTGCTCCGACTTGCCGCATTTGCTTCGCCAATAACCTACCTTCAAAGAAACAAAAAACAGAAAAACTCTATCTGCCATCCCAACACTTCCACACGTACATACTACACTCATAAATAAAAACATCACAATGGCTACTAATACCGTAAGTAATAGGCTTTGTTGAACCGCAGTCGTTTTTTTTGAGAATTCGAAGGAAAAATTTAAGATAGAAAAGTCACCTTTGATCAAGAGAAAAAACCTCGATTATCTTTTTTTAAAAACAAGAGAGTTGAACTTTTTCCTTAAAATAGAGTGCGCCTCCCTCTCTCTCTCTCTCTCTCTTCATGTTTCATTATCAATTCCTTTTTGAGCATCGACTCTATCTCTCCTATCTCTATAAGTGAAAAACTAACCAATTTCTCTTTGAATATACTTGATACTGCTTTTGTTACTATTAGGAACGCGAAGACCAGGTACTTTTATCAAGTAGTGACGGTTAAAACACGATATATTTTCATGTGATATATCAATTACCATTCGATGAAAAGATTGACCAAATTTATTTAATATTTCCTTTTTTTTGATGCCCAAACAGGTTTATATGGCTAAGCTCGCTGAGCAAGCTGAACGTTATGATGGTGAGATTTTTAGATTATTATTGAATGATTGACAATTCGTCTTAATTATTATTAATATGATTATTCTTTCTCTCTCTCTCATCACTCTATATACACATAATCCTTTTTGGATGACTAGAAATGGTTTCCTATATGAAAGTATGTAAAAAAAAAAAAGTTTTTTAATCATCATGAGTTGAGACTTTTATTCATATTTTTCAATGAACTAACCATCTTTTTTTTTTAATGGTTAGGATGTTGCTAAGGTAGGATATAGGATCTATGATTTATCTTTTCAATTGTGAAGATTGAATGACCGTCATGAACTTTTCCATCGTAAATATAAAAATAACAATAGCTCGGAGTTGAGCTTACCGTAGAAGAACGTAATCTGCTTTCCGTCGCTTACAAAAATGTAATCGGTGCCCGTCGTGCTTCTTGGAGGATTATTTCATCGATTGAACAAAAAGAAGAAAATAAAGGGAATGAAACTCAAGTCACGAAGATTAAGGCTTATCGTCAAAAGGTTGAGGCTGAATTATCTGAAGTCTGCTCTGATATCCTTGCTGTCTTGGATGAACATCTGATCCCTTCTGCCGAAGCAGGCGAATCCAAAGTGTTTTATTATAAGATGTGAGTGACTTTTCGGCACTCTTTAGTGCTAATACTACCTCTCCTTTCCCCTTCACGATTCATGTTGTGGTGTTGTTATCATCATCATCATTTTATCATACACACGCACGCACGCACACACACGCTTTTCGATGATTTTTTTCCACGCAACAAATTATTCTCATAGGAATCAATACTTCTTGATTTACCTATTTGAATTAATATTTGCAAGAAAGCGCTTAAGCTAATACGATCCGGATCAATTTTGAGTTGTCACAGAGTACGCAGTGACTTTCAAAATCGACAATCTCTTTTTTCATTTTCAATTGCTCTCGAATTTTTGTGTGTGGTTTTTATCACGCTATAAAACATTATTAACACATACGTAATTCTGGCGACCTCATATATGTACCAAATTAATAGGAAGGGAGATTACCACCGATATCTTGCTGAATTTGCATCTGGGGAGAGACGAAAAGAAGCCGCCACTCAAGCCCATGAAGCTTATAAGCATGCCACCGATATTGCTCAAACAGATCTTGCCCCAACCCATCCAATTCGACTTGGTCTTGCATTGAACTTCTCTGTCTTCTATTATGAAATCCTCAACTCCCCCGATCGTGCATGTCATCTTGCCAAACAAGCATTTGATGATGCTATTGCTGAACTTGATACTCTAAGTGAAGAATCGTACAAAGACAGCACTTTGATTATGCAATTGCTGAGAGATAATTTGACCCTCTGGACTTCTGATTTGCAAGATGGTAAAATTAATTGAACTTGAAACCAAAATTCCATTCTCTAAGAAAAGTTCTCTATTCACTAATATCTTTTTCAAAAATCGACAAACTAGAAGGCGAAAAGACCGAAGAACCTAAAGTAGAAGCTGAAACCGAAGAACCTAAGTAAAAAAGGGGGGAACATATAAAAAACTATTATTATTATTAATATTAATATTAATATTATTGGTATAAAGTAATTATTTTCTTTTTCATTTTAAATATAAAATCGGTCCATACATACATACACATACACATAATACTACTAGCAATGCGATAAACTAAAGTTTTTGTTGTTTTTGTGCTATTCATATTTATTATATCGATATATACACAAATTTCGTCGTTCTCAATTTTTTTCTTTCTTTTTTTTTTATAATGATGATTATAATGATTATTTAATCATTCATACAATAATACTACTACCACCACACAATTGGATTCCATTCGGGGGTGTTCTTTCGGTTTCGCTGGATATTGTGCGCGGTTTGATCACATATATATATATTATATATAATATATAATATGTAATATTAAAAGTCGCACACTTTTTTCTTATCCTCCACCACACACACACTTACATTATTACCACTCTGCCATATACATCATTCTTTACACGATTAAACTAGTTCGTTTCGTTCCAAATCGAATATATTATTATTATTATTTTATAGTTGTTCAAGAGATGAGTGGGATGAGGGATGTTTTTATTTTAATAATCGTAATTCTCTGTTTTTGGCGTGCTTATTAATAATAGAAAACTAATTAAAAAAAAATAAATCGTTGAGGTTTCATGAGAACACTACTATGGTGTGTTTAATTTGTCAAGTGCGATACGACTCGAGCATTAAAAGAAAAAAAATCAGTGTTAGTTAAATAAATACAACTAAAAAAAAATCCGTTATTTTTCATCTGAATATCCTCTAGCGATCCCAGAACGTCCTTCTTCCGCCTCAGAAACTACAGTCGCGCCAATTTGCTTTTCGAGACCTCGAAAGCTTCTCAAATTTAAAAATTCGGCAGCCGCACTGTTTTTCATTATGGCGGCGGTGGATGCTAATTGCGTGTTTTTGTCACGTAATATAACGTCTGTGTCTGTACTAGTAGAGTCTATGACTAATATTTAAAAAATAATTTTCTTGGGGATCAATTCGTTTGCGAGGATAAAATGTATAGGAATATTACCTCCATCACCATCATTCTTTTGATCAATGGCGTATTTCCGACTTTTTTTAAGTTGTCCGGTGACTAATGAATAATGGGGAACGTCGTCGTCGGCATCAACATCATCGTTTTTATCTTTTTCTTTGTTAAGTTCTACGGACTGCGATTAAAAATATGTGTTAGTATTATATTGAACCAGCAAATGTTTAGTGTCTCTTTACCTTTGAATTCTCTTTCGATTTATTATAACGATTTTTTGCAATACCTAAGCAAAAATCGATTGGTTAGAATTCGATTCAAGGTTATCAAAAAAAAAAAAAAAAAAACTATACCTGGTAATAATTGCTGAAAGTCTGTTATATACTCGCCAGTCCAAAGTTTAGAACTATTAAAGGAGAGAGAATTAATTTATTATTCCCAAGTATAAATGCGAATAACTTATTAGAAGAAATTTTTTACCTGTCAAGTGCTATTTCTAATTCAAACGGGGTCACTATTGGTCGATAAAATTCCTTCAATTAAACAAAATCGGTTTTTTTTTTAATAAAAAATGTCGATCCAAATTTTTTTTGGTTTACTCTATTTTTAGAGCTCACCTTTGCATCAATCAAACTATTCTCGGGGCACGCGACTAGCACGTAACAATCAATTTCCATGAAATTTGCCATTTTCGCAACATTGAGTTTACCCATTACAAAAGTATACGCTTTTTTTCCCGCGCCAGTAATAAGTTTCTTCAAGTATGATATAATGGTCAGATATGAAGCTATTTATAAGAGACAGCAATAATGCATTAAAAAGAAAGATGAGGGAATCTAGATAATATCTGTGCCATACTTTATATAAAATAATGAATACCAACTCCCAATGTCCCTGCTACTATGCCGATCACATCCGCGTCTTTCGCTTTTTGAACCATATAATATCTAATTGCAAAAAGAAAATAATTTAGTAATATTGGTTAATGTACCTCGATAATGAAAAAAATATACCGACCGTTTCATTAGAGCACGGTTCACTTGTAGAGTTTCTCGTCGTCCTTCTCGAGTCTGTGGGTTGTAAGTATATACCTATTTGATATTATGTATCTATGAGTGTACAACAGGCATGTTTATCAATGTTATTATGACTCTTGAAATCTACTACTTTGCATTTATTATGGGTCATAAGTAAATTGGTCAACATAAGACTTTCTCCGCCGATGTAAAAAATCGAGCAATCTTCGATATTTGTGCCTTCCGGTAAATTATAATATCGTCCCTTTGGCTGTTCAGAAGAATCCGATCCTACGAATTATACTTACGTTCGTAAATTTTCATTTTTTCTTTTTAAGTTAATATCATACAAGAGTTGCGTCATTCAATAACCTTCTATTGTGGTCGCTTCATGTTTAGTCTCAGTCTTTACAAACGTCTGAATGATTGAATTATATCCTTTCCTATGCAATTGGCTCACAAAATTTTCTAATATCATATGATAATAAAAAAACCAGTTAATAATATACAAAAAGGGGAAACAGTATAAATGCAGCACGTACCAATACCATGAGCATATACAACATCAAAGGAAACAATTATCGGCAAATTTTTATTTTCCTCAAAGAATTCTTGAAAAACATCCAGACAATGCGCTTCATCTATCGGACGCTTTCCAAATACGTATAAAACGGGTAGTCGGGAAGTGCTAAGTAATTATAGACAAATAGAGTTGTGGTCATTTAATAAAAACGCGTAAAATAAATGATTCAATGAATAAATTATTTACGGGCTAAGACAAGATCGGCCATAATGTATTATACAGTCGGCATCAACGTGTTGAGCTGCTATTTCATCAACACAACAACTTTATATGAAGAAAGAAGGTGAGCAAAGTAATTTTTGGGAGTATCTTTATAATATTTAATTAATGAAACAGTTTCTAACCTGCCATATGATGTATCAGCAAGAACAAAAAACTGTTTATTGGTTTTCTCCATTAGAAGGGAAGAAATTTGCGTAGAATCTGCCAATAATTCGTCAGGAAATTGAAGAGCAACCTAAAAGTGATACATCAAGGAGAATCAGAGCAAAGCATAAACTAATAAAAGTGTATGGTAAAACCCAAAAAAAAAAAACCTTTTTATATCCACCTTCGTTAAGGAATGAAATTGTTCTTTCAACTTCGTACACTTGTTGCAACTCTTCAATTGAACTTGCCAGTTTCTGGCTTTTCACGTTTAGTGCTCTTTCTATTACTGCACGTCCGTCATCTGAGAAGTTGTTAGGACCTGTTAGAGAAGTCATTTCGTAGAAAGCTAACGCGAATATTGTAATTTTTTCACAACGCGAATTAAAAAATGGAAAACCTTTCACGTGTTGTGTTGAAATTCTACTGCAATATGCTAATCTATCAATAACCAATAAGAGTGCACATCGACCCGACAAAACAAATCCGATTCAAACCATGCATAAATTTGTCTTGAATTACATATAACTTTGTTTCCGCGACGAGGTGTCTTGGTCACGCGGGGTCCGTTATGCCGGCCGAATTCCGATATTCATTATATTTTCAAATATGGGTGCATAATCGACAAATGAAAATATAAAAACCCACTTGGACACACTTTACTAATTCTCGAATTTAGTGATTTCGACTAGTAGCTAGACTAATAAAAATGGCTCAAAATACAGCAGTATTCAATGTAGGAGGCACACGTTTCGAAATAAACGCCGACCTTATAAGACAATACCCCAACAGTCTTCTTGCTCAAAGAATATCAGAACAAGAATATGCTTCTAAAGACCCCAACATTGTTGGCGTATACAATGACCCAAGTTTTCCTTCGCTTTTTTCACCAAAACCTGAAATATTTTTAGACCATAATCCATTAGCGTTCGGTGTAATATTAGATTACTTGCGTTATAAACGGATAATGGTCCCGAGGGATGTAGCTAAGGAAGTTGTAGAGTTGCAGTTGCGAGAATTTGGAATACCTTATGAGAGTTTGAGTGAAGAAGACGCTACGAGTTATACTGATAAGCAGAACGGAGACGATCTACCTTCATATGAATCTGTTTTTAGAGGAGTTTCGTCCTCGGTTAGGGATGAAAAGACGCATTCTTTAAGAGACACGGTGGAAATAGTTGCACGGAAAAGGTGACTTTTATTTTAATTTAGTCAACTAATTAATATTCGTGATATAATTCATAAATGCAGTAATTTAATTTAATTTAATTAATTATTATAATACCAAACAGACTTGATGCAATGATTCAAGATGTAATTCTACCATGTCTAAAGCGTCATGCAAAACGCGGTCACCAACAAGTAGCATTCTATTTGACACCACATAATGTTACACCACAAACTATTGCCGGTGAACTCACTTATTCATCAATACCTCACGAATGGATTTATCTACCAAATTCACCATTAAGTAATAGTAGTAGCAGTTCTTATCATTCATTAAGTAGTTTTGGATCTTCTTCGTCTTCGTTACTTCAAAAACAAGACGAAGATGAACTTCCAGATCTTCGATTTTTGTTACAAAAAGATACACTTAAGAGATTTGAAGATTTGGTAAAACAAAGATCTGGCGTGAGGAAAGTGGATGCTAAAGAAGTGGAAGTTAGCGTGAGAACAGAGAATGAATTTGGCTTGATATTTACGAAATCTTTTAATATTTTGGAAGTTTGTGTGCAAATTATTTAGTTTTTAGTACTTCCTTTAATTTAAGTGTCTCAACCAATTGACTGATCGATTGAATTTATATGTATATTTTATTTCATTATGGCATATTTATAAATAATTGGGTTTATTTATTATATAACAAATTTTAAGATAAATCTCACATTTGGAGATCGAAACTTTTATTATGAATACTTTCAAGAAACACAATCTCATAATAATAATAATAATAATAGTAATAATAATAATAATAATTATTATTATTATTCTATTTAAATAATATATGGGTTGGATATTTAAATGAATCCAATCTATATAAAAGAATTAATAAAATTGTGAGTGATTAAGAGAAAAATAAATTATTTTGTTATATTATTTTGTTATAAAAATAGAAATGAACCTTGTTGGCAACATCCAATGCATCTACATCAGTGGTGAGTCGAACATAAGCCTTTTTAGTTCCATTAGGTCTAAATAATAAATCAAAAAAAAAAGCCATCAATAAGCACAATAATAATAACATGTAAATTAAAAACAGATCAATACCTTATCAAAGTATTAATCTTTAGCGCGTCAACTTGATACAATTTTTTTACTGCGTCTTTAATCTGACGTTTATTAGATTTAACGTCCACAATAAACACCAAGGTGTTATTCTCCTCAATTTTCTTCATTGCAGATTCGGTGTTTAACGGTTGTTTAATGATTTTATATTGATCAAGTCGCGGGGCATGTGGAACTGACTTTCGTGGGTATTTTGGATCACGAGCAAGTCGGAGCGTTTTTGGGCGTCGGAACGTGGTGGAGGTTCGGACTTTCTTTTTCACCTTGCCGTTTGTACCTTTTAGTGCGGCTTTTTTGGCAGCTATGGCCTTGGATTTTTCTTTTTTTTTTGTTGGGGTTTCTTTGGGTGGTGGGTCATTGCTACTGCTACCGGCGGTGGTGGCGGACTTCTCGGTCTTCTTTGCTATAGGTAAAAATATGATTTTTTCCAGTGTCTTTTAACTATATCAATTGTCTTGATTTTTTGTCTTTCTCATATGTTAATTCAGCGTCCACCATACACGAACCTGATTTTCTAGAAGCCATTAATTACTAAAAGAACCTTTTTTTAAAAGTTTTGATAGTATTTTTTTCTGCTACAGATTTTTCCTTGTGATAGATAGATCGGCAGTCACGCTTTTTTGAAAAATTACAAGTCTACGTGTGATCTATTTAATTTTTATTATACAACTTTTTAAAAGTTTCTCGAATAAACATATATATCTTTATCTTTTGTAATATTAAAAAAACAGTAAGATAAATTACAATGGCTAAACATCATCCTGATCTTATAATGTGCAGAAAACAACCAGGAATAGGTAAAAGTTAAATATGATTCAATTCTTTGAAAAGATAAATAAATTGACCCTGTTCGAACTCGATTACTTTAAGCAATTGGGCGATTGTGTGAAAAATGTGATGGCAAATGTGTGATCTGTGATTCGTGAGTATATCAAACATTGTCGGTTTTGATATTATTTTTTTTTCTTAAATTTTTTTTTTGATTTAGATATGTTCGACCAGATACACTGGTGAGGTGAGTAAATAATTCAAATTCACGAATAAAAAAAAATATCAGACATGAATTGAACATCATAAATTGAATTATCCAGAATATGCGATGAATGCAACTACGGTTCATACCAAGGACGATGCGTAATATGTGGTGCACCTGGAGTATCTGATGCCTATTATTGTAAAGAGTGTGTATTACAAGAAAAAGATGTACGTACACATGAATTCATGTTTTAGTTTTATGTTTCGCGAGTTCAATTTTTCATAATTTTCTTTAAATTTGTATACTTAGAGAGATGGATGCCCGAAAATAGTGAATCTTGGATCTTCTAAAACAGATCTATTTTATGAGCGGAAAAAATATGGATTTAAAAAAAGATGACGATATTGGAGTTTGCAAGAATAATTATTGTTACTTATGATATTAATTAATGTTACTCTGACTGCTTATCTAACAATCTTTTATCTCACAATGATAGCATGTAGATTTCCAAATTTAAGTATTTTTAGAAACAACAACTCATTCTACCATAAAATTTTAGAGTAGATAAAAATTGAACTATTTAAAATGTCATCGTAAGTTTTTCGATTAACATTTATCTGTACATAATTATTATACTCACAAACAATCATTTTTATATAAAAGGAGCAAATTTTCCATCTCTATAAAATTCTCAATTAAAAAAAAAATTAAAATAACGTGTGCTTTTTACCCATACTACATATTTCTACATATTCGAAAAAGGATATCTCAATCCACGAGATGAAATATCGAGTGGGTAAACAATATCTAAACTAAATTTATTTAAAATAATTACTGAAATTTGAAATTCATTTCAGACTAATCACACATTTTCTATAATAAACATCAAATTCATTTTGAAATAAATGAAAATGCAAAATAAAATCGTTGATTTCTTACCAGCTAAATAAAGGATAGAATAATGGATTAGTTGTATTTTTGGTTATATAGATCTTTTATTTATGCATACTATAGGGTTTAAATCCATTAATATTCTCAAATTAGGAATCTATTTACAAATAATATTAACAATTTCACTGGAAAACTATTATTTTATCCTTTGTTAAAGATAATTTTCCAATCGTCGATAAGCCTAAGGTTTGTGGGTGATCTCAACTCAGAACGCTGCAGACTAGATTTGAGTTTAATCTTTCCCAAGGAAAACGAAACCGGATTAATAATACATTGATAAGCTCAAAAGATAAAATATCATCAGGTAGCAGCGCGAAAAAAAAAACGAGTCCGTCAATGATAAATTATTGAGTACATATCCAATGAGATTTATTGAGCCCCGGTTTCGAATTGCATGAAACTCAAAAGTTGTCGGGAATATTTGGATCGATTTGACAGTCGAATTTTAATTAGGCAATGACGTATTGTGAGCTCGATCACAGCATGCTGGTTGCCTCATCAACATTTCGCGTGACATTAGCCGTTGGTGTGTGCTTCAAACCCTCTTAATAACATTAGGGCAATGTAAGGGAAAACACCAGGGATTTCTTATCCGCAATAGAAGGAATCAGATATTTCAGCATTTATGCTTTCACCAATAAGTCTCTCTGATCATATTCCGACAGTGAATACTACACTATAGAGCAGCTGGAGTTTGAATTTCCAATTTATTGCATGGAAGTTTTATGGATGTATGAATGCAGATATTATTCAAGTATTTTTATAATCAGGTCTTGGAAAAGGTCATAAATTGAAAAGAATTGCTTATGCGTTTTATAATGAGGACGAACCTTGTAATTAAAGGGTTTGTTACAATTTTAGGACATGAATCGATCTTTATGCAGTTGGATTTCCCACACTTACTTTATTTGGAGATCCTTTTTCGAT